GGAAACCGGATTGAGGACAAATAGTGCTGGGATTCCCTATACATTACTCTTAAGGGTTGAGGTTACTGGGTTTCCAACTTCTGGGCTTAAAGGACAGCGTGCGCATTGCGAGGTTGGATCGAAGGCACAGTGGACAACACCTAAGTGGCTTCAAGTGGCAACTACCACGTTGAGATTGAAGCTCAGTGTGACTTGAAGCACTTCCGGCATTGAGCAAGATCTGCCATAAAGCCTGGACCCCACACGATTTTTGACAGGTTTGCAACACCGTGTTGGATCCCAGCGTCTCACACTGCGCCTAAAGCTGAGCGCCCACATAACCCACTGCTAATTCGTGTCACTCTCTCTGTCAAAGATCTGCAGAGTCAAGGCATTTACACGACGTGAACCTCCATCAACCATGAACTCGAAACCGAGTAAGACACTATAACATACTTCATGACCATAATGTACGATTCCGTACAATAATATACTATCACAAACAATAAACTCTAATACCGTATAGTGTCCCTAAAACCTAAACCCTAAACTTTATATGTTACCTTCTTATGATTATGGTATCAGAGGCCATCATTTAAAGGCCCAAGGCAGCACGACGACGATAGGTCGACACCCCCCGGCATCGCAACCCTAAAAACCCTAAACCCTAAGCCCTAAACCCCTAAACCCCTAAACCCTAAACCCTAAACCCGATAAGCGCTAACCCCGAAACCCTAAACCCTAAACCCTAGGCCCTAAGCCCTAAATCCCGAAACCGGCAAATCCCAGGCTAGAGGGGCGCAGGGGACTCTTCGGGTTTGGCGTCTGCCTAGACCCCCAAGAACCTACCTATAAGGAAATCATAACAAGGAACCCCCCAAAATGGGAGGTTCTTGAGGGTCCAGGTGGGGGTTAGAGTTCGGGGTTTAGGGTTTGGAGTTGAGCGTTTGGGGCTAGGGCTTGGAGGTGCAGGGCTACGGGTTTCCAATTAACCATCCTATACAGGTTTCCCTCTTCTGATTTCTTGATTGAAGTCTTTAAACACGTAGGTTATTTGGGTTTTATAAACCCTAAAAACTAAACCCTAAGCCCTAAGAGTTCTTGATAGAAGTCCTTTAGCAAGGTGGGGCTATTCGGGTTTAGGGAAGGGCTTTGGCTTCAGGATGACAAGATCTCACACCCACAGGCTATGCGTTTCGGGTTTAGAACCCTACACCCTAAACCCTAAACCTTAAACCCTAAACCCTAAACCCTAAACCCCGGGAAGCTCTTGGTGCCCTCCTTTAGGATCCGAGAGTCGAAACAGGAACAACCCTACAGCCCTGAACATAAAGCATCTAAGAACCCTACTGGGTTTAGGGTTTAGGGTTTAAGGGGTCATCTCCTACTATTTTTTGTAGGGTTTAGTTGTTTAGAGTTACAGGGTGATGACTAGACTAGACACTAAAGCACGGAAACCTAAACCACGAACGGTAGAGGGCGTGGGGCTTAGGGGTTTAGGAAGTTATGTGCCAAACACGATGCAAACAAGTCAGACCACACACGCGCACATAATAGTCCTGAAGATAAACTCTCGAAATCCGCGAAACCAACAGGCCTGCACATGGCACCCTGTTCCAAAACCCCAAATACTCGTCATGTAGGCTCCCTTTCTGGGTAGGACCTCATCATGAAGTATACTCTTTGAAACGACCTTGAGAACAGCATCCGCATCAGAGTGCGATCCCAAATCCGATTTCTGAGAAGGCACTGCAATGTACTGAGCCCTGAACCCCTTCAGCCAAGCTCCAGATGCCAGCGCTCATGGAGCCTACACCCTCAACCCTAAACCCTCAACCCTAAACCCGAAACCAAACCCTGAACACTGAACCTCAAACCCGAAACCAAAACCCTAAACCCCTAAACCCTGAACCCTCAACCCTAAACCCGAAACCAAACCCTAAACCCCTTTTGCCGCAGGCTTCTTTCGCCCGGAACTGCCTTAAACCCCTAAACCCTGAGCCCTAAATAACCCTCAACCCGAAACCGAAACCCTAAACCCCTAAACCCTGAGCCCTAAATAACCCTCAACCTGAAACCGAAACCCTAAACCCCCGAACCCTGAACCCAAATCACCCTCAACCCTAAACCCCAAACCCTGAACCCCTAAACCCTGAACCCTAAACCCTGAACCCCTGAACCCTGAACCCTGAACCCTAAACCCTAAACCCTGAACCCTAAATAACCCTCAACCCTGAACCCTGAGCCCTAAATAACCCTAAACCCTGAACCCTAA